GAAGGCACGTTTGCAGAGCTTCAAGCGAAGAACATAGATTTCTTAAGCATGCTTTCAATGGAAGATCAGAAAGCAGATACGGAAAGTGTGCATCTCGATGAAAATCATACGCCTGATATATCTATTAATTCCGAAAACGGTAAAGACGACGAGGAAGCGGAGCCACAAGAAACCGAAGAATTAATGGGCAAAGGAAGCATTTCGAAATCAATTTATTGGAGATACTTCCGAGCCGGAGGATCGATTCTGATGATCCTAGGTTTTCTGTTGAGTTTAATTCTAGGACAGATAGGAAGTAGTGGTAGCGATTATTTTGTTGCTTACTGGTTAGCGTTCTTCATATATATCATCTTATAATTTACAACTTGTAAATTATACTTGTAAGTTTTAATCTTATTCGCTTCGCCTTTCTTTTTCAGGACAAAACAGGAAGAAATGCGCGTGAAGAACAATATCAATCATACGTTGGAAGTATTCAAACAAAACGGAAGCGTCATTGAACCGATTAATGGAGCGGTTACCTCAGACATAGATAACTTTAATGAGACGATATTGCTCGACACGCCGAACAATGCTATTTTAGATAAGAATAATGTTAGTATTATTAGTCGGTTTTTTTTTCAACAAACGACAATTACTGTTATTGGTTTTATCGCATTTATGAATTCACAGACATGGGGTATCGATGCTGCACTGCGTGACAATTACTACATTGATCGTGACACTGCTTTATGCATTTATGCAGTGCTTATACTTGGGAGTATAATTATGACTTCAATCAGGAATATCGTGTTTTACAAGATATGCATGAACTCCAGTAAAAATCTTCATAATTTCATGTTCTCATCGTTATTGAGAGCACCGATGCTATTCTTCGATACACATCCATCTGGTGAATGTTAAAAAATATTATAGCTTATGAATTTTCAATCAGTTCATTCTGTTAAAATATAACCGTTACATTTTAGGGCGTATACTAAATCGTTTTTCAAAGGACATTGGAGCAGTCGATGAACTCTTACCGCGAACAATGATAGAGTCCATTCAGGTATTTGCAGTAATGGTTGGAATTCTGGCTCAGGTACTTATCATTAATTGGTGGACGGTATTTCCAATGCTTATAATGGCTCTTTTGTATTGGCAAATACGAAATGTTTATCTAAAAACTGCACAAGATATGAAGCGTTTCGAAGGAACAAGTAAGAACGTTCTATTCTCTAAATGATCTTCTATTGTTCTCTCTCGAGCAACGTTTATAAAATAACTGAAATTTTTAGCGAAAAGTCCTGTGTTCTCCCACGTTAGCTCGTCATTACTAGGTTTAACTACGATTCGTTCATGTTCGGCACAAGACATGGTTCGCAAAGAATTTGATGTTCATCAAGATCTTCACACTAGTACCTATTACTTAACTATTGTAGGGAGCACTGCCTTTGGATTCGCGCTGGATGTCGTGTCTCTTTGCTTTATTGCCTTCATCACGTATAGCTTCATAGTATTAGACGATGGTATACCATTATTTTTTTTATTACAACAATCGTTTTAGCAACATTTCTTACTGGTATGTTGTTAAGCTTACATTCATTTCAACAGGGAACACGTTCGCGGGAAATGTTGGTTTAGCCATATCGCAAGTTCTAATTTTATGCGGAATGCTTCAACACGGAATGCGACAAACCGCAGAAACGATAGCACAAATGACCAGCGTGGAACGAATTTTACAATTTACGCAACTCGACAAAGAGGGACCATTCGAGAGCGAACCGAACAAAAAGCCATCGGCCCAATGGCCTTCCAAAGGAGACATTCAGTTCGATCATATGTATCTACGCTATGAAGATACAGCGCCATCCGTCCTTAAAGACTTAACTTTCCGTATCAAATCTGGGGAAAAAGTAATTTCTCATTATTCAAAGATATCGTGAAACAACCGTGTGCAAGCAAGATGAATGACTATTAAATTATTGATTTTCAGGTAGGAATAGTTGGTCGTACAGGTGCTGGTAAAACTTCCCTAATATCAGCTTTGTTCAGGTTGACTAAATTAGAAGGTAAAATATGCATAGACGGCTTGGACACGAAAGAAATCGGCCTGCACGACTTAAGGAAGAAGATCTCCATTATTCCACAAGAACCTATATTGTTCTCGTCAACGCTTAGGGATAATCTAGATCCTTTCCATGATTACAACGACGATACTCTTTGGACTGCTTTAGAAGACGTGGAATTGAAATCGAGCATCTCGTCCCTCGATTTTGTTGTTGATCAAGGGGGAGTGAATTTCAGCGTGGGCCAAAGACAGCTACTTTGTCTGGCAAGAGCTATTTTACGAAATAATAAGATTCTTCTTCTCGACGAGGCTACGGCTAACGTAGACCCTTCGACGGATGCTTTGATTCAAACTACTATCAGGCAGAAATTTAAAAACTGCACGGTATTAACTATAGCGCATAGATTGAACACTATAATGGACAGCGACAAGGTTTTAGTTATGGATCATGGACAAATGGTTGAATTCGATCATCCGCATATTCTGCTTCAGAATAAAGAAGGGCATTTCACCAATATGTTGAAAGAAACTGGAAAACTAATGTTCGACCAACTCAGCAAAGTCGCGGAACAGGTACGTATATTTTTCTTGATAGCAATGTATTTCTTCAAAGGCACGTTGAAGAGTTTTAAACAGAATGTATTACTGTGTTCTTAGGCATATAAACACAGTTCTGAATATACGGAAGAAGAAGAAGAAGTAAAAGAAGAAGAAGAAGAAGTAGCACCTATCAGACCACTTAATGGAAATGCTAGTACAAAGAATGCTTAAGAGAATATTAATGTACTTAATTCAAGAAAGTACTTAATATCCGTAACAACTTCCAACTACTGCGCACGAACGTTTATAACGTGAAGAACTTAAAAGGGCATATAATCTTATTTTTCATATTATTTTCATAATTTTTTTACATTGTTCCTATTGCGAACACAATACGGGTTTACTTTATACCGTGATACAGTAATATTTTGATAAAGAAAGTATGTTACAAGTAAAAAGTACTTTAAGATACATGGATATATTTTAAATATCCATTACCTCGTATACCAAAAAATATATAGAATCTATTTGTTAAAGTTCTGCGTGCAGAACTATAAAAATAATTTGCTATTTAGAAGTGTTAGAAAAATTTTTTACAAATAACGTAACGCAAAGCACATTCTTATGGTACTTCATATACTTATATCGAATATTTTTTTAACGGCTTGCATTGAAAAAATGTAGCTTTCATATGTTGCTATAAAGATTATTTCTATAAGCATATTTTTGCGAATAACATTTTACAATGTTACAGAGATTTTTTAGTATTATGTATACCATCTTGTAATTGTTCTTAAGTTTTATAATAAATTATATACACAAACATATGTTTCTACCATAATCCTTTGTAGAATGTGTAAAATCATTCTAGCAAAGTATTGCTTTCATTTTTTTATTCAAACAAGAACGATTTATTTACAAATATTTACAAATTCGTAATATTTGTGGGAGCGGTTTTCGACGCGTCCGCTCTCGACCACAGTTCCTTAAGAGATCTTTTTTGTACATTATTAAATCGATCATCCCTTAATGACTATCGGGCTCAAACCACTTTCAGGTCATAAGGGTCGATTCATCCCTACAAAACATTGCAGGAAGGCTTTCAATATATCGAAATGCTATCTTTCCTTAGGCACGATTGACCTTTCTGTATATTATTGAATCTCATGAAATATATCCTAAACATTAAATTAGCTGAACAGCACCGCTTTTAACTAAATTTGCAACAGCACTGTACTGTATAATGTGCTGGGAGCCTGGCTCAAAATTTACTTCTTGGTCCAACGATCCAGGCAACACGATCCCTTCAATTTTCTGGTTAGCCCTTAAAAACACGTACGCGTGCATATTAGGCTTTACCAATAGCTTGTTTACTTCGAATGCCTGGAACGGTCCAGGCATATATTGCAAAACGGCTTTCCTGAAAAGAACTTCGATATTTGCAAGAAACTCCTTAGCGAATTGCAACTCTGCGGGTGTTAGATAACATTCTTCTCGGGGTCTCTTCGTCTCCTGTGCGAGTATATGAACGGTATATTTCTCGATTTTCTCTAATCGAGCCCTAAGGTAGCTAGACACCACAAATTTGATTCTATCTAACTCCATCCTATGTACCATTAACCTTAAATCTCCTTTCTCTAACCTTTTCATGTTGTCTTCCATATGGGTAATTTGTTGGAACATACAGTCGACCAAATCGGACTGATGGGGAAGAATTTCAGGAGCGAATTTTTCATTTAACCATGCTTCTTCCATTGCCAACAAAACAGTTTGAGCGGTTAAGTCGTCATCCTCCGGCTCGTCTTCGGTCACCGATTCAATTACTTCCATATCATCATCCATGTCGCACGATTTTATCGAACGAAATATTAATTTCTTCTAAACACAGTTAATTATCTTCCCGCTTCGTTTATATCGTCACGTAAATCCGTAGATCATCGTGGATAAAGTTAGGCCGGTACAACAAAAAAATGTCGTTGCGATGAAGTTCCAATTGTTTGGTTGTCACGTGACAGAAGTCGATATTTCTCGACGTTTGAATTTGAATCAAGACTCGCTCCGAAACTATTCGATCGATTATACGCTTCCTAATCGATCGAGTAGAATCGCGATGAAACCGTTATTATTCTTAATTTCCCAACCCAAAGAGCACCGCGATTCGAAACGAGAAAGATCGTCGCGTGTCAGTTGCTACAGGAAATAATATACTAATTCTCAATTCATCTCTCTTGTCATATTATCACCACGTCGAGAATTTCACGATGCTAGAAAATTCATGCAACAAACCTGCCAAGGAACGACGAACCGCTTCGAGAAAGTCGCACGAGGCTCTGGGACGAAATGCGAGAGAACTGAATGAAAGGTACGCGAACACGCTATTATAATAAGCTCCTTATAGCATGAAACCATATTAAAGTTTAAACCTGAATAGAACCATCCACGAAGACGCCGAAATCACGGGTACGCGTCGTAATACGTAATTAATCGTTATTTCTTCTTTTTTCTCTCTCGAAATCTGTTAATCTTCAAGGGAGAGAAGCGAAACGGAAATGAAGTTTCCCAGGGACACGTTAGAGCGGATAAAAGAGCGCGCGAAGACGAAAGGTGGTCGAAGGTGGTTACGGACGATCGAGCTTAAAACAATGTAAAAAGATGCCGAGGAATCAAAGGATAGGGGTGATCTTCGTCGTGTTCTATTCCTATTTTAGCCTCGTAAGGTTTCTGTGTGCGGGACTGAGGATACACCAAGGTATTCTTAAATCCTCGTTAACTTAATAAAGACCGTCTTAAGACTGTTTGCCGACTTAGATCACGACAGCAACATATAGGAAACGAGTCGCAAGGGTACATATGACAGGGTCGGGCCTGGACACCGATGCATATTTAAACGGGAGCCAGACGACGCTGACACGAGCCGCATCCAACAGTGGACCTAACAACAACACATCCTACGGTTCAACTCCAACGCGTGGCCAATCAAAGAAATCAATCCGAGACGTGTACTTGGACTAGTTCGTTTTACCACGATTTTCTCCAAGTAGCCAAAAGGTGAGCCGAGTAAATAGTGATCGGTGTTCCGTTTGCTCTTCAGTGACACCCGAGGAACCCTGAACCGGTAGAACTCGTCCGGACGTATACTAGTCTAAAGGGGAGGCGCCGAAATTTTGAAACAATTAACGTTCATACCGTAATATACGAACAAGTAAACTTCGCGTTGTAACGGTAGAAATTCAGTGAAGTAATGTTTAGTTTGTAACGAAGTTATTGTTATCTAACACGTTGAATACCATGGGGTCACCGGTGACCCCCAATCAAATGAATATTATAAATAATGCTACGTAATACAATAACATTCAGCTAGACGAACGTGGAATAGCAATAATGCAATTCGATCAAATGATTTTTGTTCATGACTATAACAAATTTCATCAAACGAATAGATTTTGTAACTTTCAAGTTATGGCGTTAAACTTTCACACCTGAGTGTATGAAAATTTAAGTTAATTGATTACTTAATTTTGTTCACCACTTTGAGTGCATAATGAAATTGTATGTTACGATTGTTTTTTAGTCATTCAGAAGCGTCAGTCACCAGTGACTGACATGGCGCTTAACGTGTTAAAGGAGCGAAGACTCGTAAAGCGAGGAAGGCTCTCCAGAAACTGATATATAAATTTGGTATCCGAATGTTCACAGATCTTAGAATGTCTGTCATCTCGGGACCCATCTACGATGCTTACTCGTGGGGAGGACAGGGCGGTGCTGGTAAATTCGGCAACCTAACGGTGGTCGACAAGGTACCAGCTGACATGCTCCATCTGATCGACCCTCACTGGTACCAGTTCCCGCCTCTGAATCCGATGTGGCACGGTCTCCTCGGTTTCGTAATCGGATTGCTTGGTTTCATCTCCGTCAGCGGGAATGGAATGGTCGTCTATATATTCCTTTCGACAAAGAGTCTTCGCACGCCGAGCAATCTATTCGTGATCAACCTAGCTATCAGTGACTTCTGCATGATGCTCTGCATGTCCCCCCCTATGGTGCGTGTACCAACATCGTTCGTAACGTCACCGGGATATTACCGCTATATTACCATTGATATTAATTGTAAATTCCCCCCTGTCGACAGGTAATCAATTGCTATTACGAGACGTGGGTACTCGGACCTCTGTTTTGTCAAATCTACGCGATGTTGGGCTCCTTGTTCGGATGTGGCTCCATATGGACAATGACAATGATCTCATTCGACAGATACAACGTGATCGTCAAAGGTTTATCCGGCAAACCACTGACCATTAACGGAGCACTCCTCCGTATACTGGGTATATGGTTGTTCTCTCTGGGCTGGACCATCGCGCCCATGTTCGGTTGGAATCGGTAATTTCAATCTCGTCTCATTTTCCCCTGGTCGAGTCAGATTTTCATCCCTCTTGACGGCGCTCTTCTCTTCCATCAGATACGTGCCGGAGGGCAACATGACCGCGTGCGGTACCGATTACTTCAGTAGAGACATCGTGTCCGTGTCTTACCTTATCCTCTACAGCATCTGGGTGTACTTCTTCCCGCTGTTCCTCATCTGCTACAGCTACTGGTTCATCATTCAAGCGGTCGCGGCTCACGAGAAGAACATGCGGGAACAAGCGAAGAAGATGAACGTGGCTTCTCTGCGATCATCGGATAATGCAAACACCAGCGCTGAATGCAAACTGGCCAAGGTACGAAAAACAGGGAGGTGTTCGCGTTCGTTCTAAAGGCACCGGTGATTTCAGGTCGCTCTGATGACCATCTCCCTGTGGTTCATGGCCTGGACACCGTACCTGGTCATCAACTACGGTGGCATCTTCAACCTCATCAAGATTAGCCCGCTGTTCAGCATCTGGGGCGCTCTGTTCGCCAAGGCCAACGCTGTCTACAATCCCATCGTCTACGGAATCAGGTACTCGTACTTGGTCTTGGTTAGGTATACATATATATAAAGGACGCATCTCGAATTCGACTCTAACTGGTTCCACGGTTCTCCCATTTCAGCCATCCGAAATACCGAGCTGCGCTCTTCCAGAAATTCCCGTCGTTGGCGTGCGCCTCCGAGCCAGCACCGACGGACGCGACCTCCACCGTTTCTGGCACCACCACCGTTGCGGACGGCGAGAAAGCTAACGCGTAAAGCGACCACGGTTCCGCGCGAAACATCGTATGCGACGAAAGATCACAACCGGGCCAAGATCGATGAACTGTAAAGGATAATCACGATGTTAAGTTTCATTACAGACACGGAATTGTAAATATTAGTATCGGTTCTCGCGTTGAGAAATCTTTTTGTACAAATCACGGGGAACGCGTTCCGATCGAAATCGCGGGTCGTCCGAGGAGGAGGAAGAGGAAGCGGGGCACGCCATCGTCGGAACAAGCACATCTACTTCGAACGCGTATCTCCAGTATACGGAACTGTTCCAGAACTGCGGGAATAAATCAACGACGTTCTGATCCCATCCATGGCCGATGGATCAGCGTACGGTTCTCATTCGCACCACAATGCGGACCGTGCAGCGTCGAGTCATAGGTGACGGTTTCAACGTTGTACAGTTTATTCCGCAGCGATTATACATGGTCACTTTGGTATAGCAGGTACTATCTCTGCTCTGTGTTTACTAGTTTAGTAAGCATGCATCATACACTAATGTGAGATATGACGTGAGCGTCGTATCTGTACCCTTAATTTTATAAATACAAATGCAAATAAATTATGCAAGCAACGTGAAAGTTTTGTGTTTTATCAACGTCTAGTAAAGAGGAACGTTTATCGGTAGTGGCATTCCCGGATTCCAATGTCCTAAGACTATCCAGCGGCTTCCGAAGACTTCTCTCCTCCTGCAGCGGCGGGTTCCTCGGTTGATCCGCAAACTAAGAATGGTAGCTTCTCCTTTAATGCGGCTCTATACTTTGGATGACTGAATAGGAAATTTTCTCATCAATGTTAGTCGTTCGGGGCGACATTCGCTTATTTATATGATAGGCGTATACCTGATTCCGTAAACGATTGGATTGTATATCGCGTTCGCCTTGGCAAATAGAGAGCCCCATATAGTGAAGAGAGGAGTGATTAGAGTACGATTGAATATTCCGATATAATTGATCACCAGATAAGGTGTCCATGCCATAAACCATAACGAGATTGTTGTCAATGCTACCTACAAGAAATTTCATTGGAAGTTACCACTGGGAGTACTCTGACAAACAAACTGGGTAAACGAGTAAGAGCACCTTTGCTAATTTCGCTTCAGCACTAGTACCTCCTTGTTCTCCGGATCTTAAAGATGCAACGTTCATTTTCTTTGCTTGGTCTCTCATTGCTTTCTCGTGTGCCGCGACAGTCTAATTAAGCAAAGGGATTATACAGATAAAGAGAACAGTCAAAGACATTCCAATTAATGTGACTTCAAATATTTACCGATACAATGAAGTAATAGCTGTATATAATAGTGAACAACGGTGTGTAGTAAACAAATACAGAGTAAACTAATATGTATGATTTCGAGGACCAATCCAGTGTAAGATAATCCGTCCCGCATGCAGTCATATTACCCTCTGGAACATATCTATTTCACACGTTTTACGTGTTCATGATTCAGGCAGATTGTTGTTAGACATATATAAGAAAAGTAACATTTTCGAAATTCATGAAGTTACCTATTCCATCCCACCATAGGAAAAATTGTCCACAATAGACCAAACATCCATATAGCTAGTATCTCAACTATTACTCTTTTTATAGTAAGGGGTGTTCCAGACATACCCTAAAAGTAAATTTATTTCATTAAGACATTATTTTCACTTAGAACCGTTACTATCCATGAATATCTTGTCCCTGTACCTTTACTATAACATTATATCTATCAAGAGCAATGGCTGTCATTGTCCAAATAGAAGCACATCCACATAATGAACCAACCATTGCATAAATGTCACACATTAAAGGTCCTGAATAAAGGAATACTATTTTATGATCGATATTCTTCCGTATTAAATATCCTTGTAACACTTTTTCTTACCCAGAACCCATGTTTCATAGAAACAACAAATTACCATGGGTGGGCACATGAAGCCCATCATTATGAAGTCAGAAAAAGCCAAATTTACTACAAGCAGATTACTCGGCGTTCTTAAGGAGGGTGTCAATAAAAATACGTAAACCACTACACCATTACCACACCAACCCATAATTCCCAATATGATCATAACAAAGCCTAAGACTTTATGCCATAATGGATCCAATGGTGGAAACCGGTACCTATGTTGAAAACAAAATATTAATATATAATACTCTGAATGAACATAAAATAAAATAATATACATCATTATTTTAAATGAAATTGTGGTGATTACCAATATGTATCAATTAAGTGTAACATTTCTTCAGGTACTTTACTAACAACTGTTTGATTGTTAAAACGCATTATCTGCCTTGCAAATTGTGGTCCCACTGTAGTTATTGTAGTAAAATTTTGAAGTGTGGGCAACACTTCATTAGAGAAGAGTGTAGTTGGATTATAAATATCCGTTAAAGTAATTACCTCCATTTCTTGAAAACATACATATATAACTTTAATAATGTATATTCGGAGAACAATTAGATAAATACTGTTACCTAAGCAGCAGTACATACTTTTAATCAGGTTTTGTAAATAAACGTTCACGATTAACACTATTTATATTTACACATTGACAATTGTAAAGTGTTTTCCTTATGCACATTTGACTATCCACGCACAACTGCAGGTACATAAGCATCATGCTTCTCTTATATCTGTTCTATAGCATGAGATCCAATAAACTCATCCAATAAAATATTCAAATGAAATCATGTACGGTTGTATTAAATACATTTACATTTAGTTCTGTAAGTGCCACGTCGTCTGACACATAAAAAGTACTGTCAGCTTGAATTTAGAGTAATCTAATTAATGTGAATCATTACATATGCCTTTAAGAATTAAATTTTTATGGATAATTTAAATAAAAAATATGTGTATAATGTTCCAATATAGTGTAGAATTTAAAAGGATCTAAAGTTGTTTGATAGCACTTCAAATAATTTATTCTGTAAATTATAGTTACACAATGCTATCAATGTAAAGATCATTTAATTGCTCTGGAAAGTCTTCGGATATGTTGACTACGACCTTCTTGAAGAGCCTCCTCTAACTCCTGTGCAATATGTAACAAGTTATTGGGATCTGTTTGAAGTAAAACATGCTCGATACTTTCATCCTTGTCTGGATTCTTTATGGATAAATCCAAAGTAATGAGAGGAGCAACTTGTTTTAATAATGATCTTGATGCAAGCTACACAGGAATATACATTTGATATAATTTTTAAATGTTTACATTAGCTGCATTTATAAAAACTGTCAGAAGTAACAATAATCAACCTGAACTTCGAATCTCCATTCCATGTCATGATATTCTGGTAATTTAAATCCAATATTTGTGAGTATACTTAATATTTCATCCCTTTTAACGTTATATAGTTTGCTCAAGATTGCTTCCTGATCTTCTGAAAATCCCAAGGCAATTACAGAATCTCTGAAGTCTTCAGAACTTAACTGTAAATAGTCATGAGATTATTATTGGAATATAATAAAGTAAAATCAAATATTATTTCATGTTTATAAGTGGATTCAAGGTATTAAACATTGCATTACTTTATATCTACAACTCTCTAATAATAAATTAACAAGTCCTTCCACTGAATTCTTAATAACATTCACTTCAACTTCCAACTTCTCTGAAATAATAATAAAAGACAAGTTGTATAAAATCCTTTGAACAATGAGACGAAGAGGTTTTCATTTTACTAACGGGCAGCTGCATTGTATAATTTTATGTTTGGTCCTTTTTGTAGATAATCTAAGGCCAGTTTGCAAAAGTCCTGCAAGACTGAAGAGACAAACAAAAAAAGATAAGAATTATTTTAATATAAATCAAATTAGAAAACAATAGTAGGTTCTCATACCTTGGGGTGTATGTTTTGTAAGAAGCAACACATGCTTTTTATGATCTGGTTTTAATGTTAGCAACATTATTACTTTATTTTCTTAAAACCAAATACTTTTATAACAATTATTTACTATGCATTTCTAAGATTCAAAAAAATATGACAGCCCTCGTCTAACTGCAAGGTGGCAAGTGCGTCGCCATATTTATGACTGTATATGTAGATACGTACATACTTATTTACGAAAGATTTATTCACCGATAATTAACCAGTTCTGTAAATGAACTACGTATGTAAAACATTATTTCATCACTCAATGAGTAATTAATTTATTTAATTAGGTATAACATTTATGCGTTTGCATTATATTTTCTTATACAAATAGGGAAGATATTGATAGGTTAGATGTTTACTGTAGGTTTATTATCTGTAATTTGATCTACCTTTACGTCGATTGTTGCAAACTCATGTAACTTTTATAATATGAATTTAATATAAATGGTATTAATATTTTATAAAGAAAACGACAATTTTTAATATTGTAACTATCAATTTATTCCTTATATTTATATTTTAAATACAAAAGACACAAAAGTATATAAATAAGATTCATGAATCAATCATTTTTTAGGAATAATAATTATTTATTTTGCAATCATGTGACTCTCCTTGATTATTTTCATCTGGTTCAAGAGTAAGAATAATAATATTCATGGTTATATATCTTTTTCCATTATACAATATTGATATAACAATTAATAAGGCTGTAATTTTATTTAGTCCATGATGTTATTTCTTTGGTTGATTAAGTGCTGCTTTCATCAGAGCCTGTTCAAACATTTGTTCATATTTTTCTATATTCTCTCGATGTTTATCTGCCTTTTCACCAGAAGCAGTTATCAAGTCTTCCACTCGTTTCCTAAATATTTTTTAAAGAATCATTATTACATTTCCAACTTTCCAAATCAATATCTTTTGTATAGGATTCAGCTTACATTTCAGAAGAAATAAATTCCAAGCGTTTAGATACATTCTGCTTTGCCTCTTCTAAATCCTGTTTTATAAGAACTGGTCCTACTAATTTGAAAACAACATCTTCTGACTTCAGGAGATCTAACTCTTTCTGAACTACAATATTTTCATTCAACTGCCCTTCCACCTCCCGCTTTTGATTAAATGCTATACAGTAATCTGATAAAAACAGAATCTACATGTAATAAGACAATCAATTAATTATAATTTTATAATTCATTGCAAACAACACTTTTTATGTGTAAAAAAGCATTAACTACCTCTTTGAGCTAATTTATATTTAACTGTTTCGTTTTTCAACTTCGTCTGGATTTCTTCCAACATATTTGCCTAGAAAAAAGGGAATAATTATACTTCAAATGGAAGTCAGATTAAGGTTATGTGACCAGCAGGTGACAGTATTTAAATACAGTGACAGATCTCCAATTCACAGAATAAATATATGTAAATCCGTGGAAAAAAGGAACATTATTTAAGATTTAAATCTTGTTTAAACATTTTAACATTATCGTACCATGGAAGTAAAAGAGTGTGTTGCAATAAGCTTCCTTAAAGTTTCTATTCAGATGTATTTAATGCACTATGAAGAACCAAGGAATTTTGTGCAAAAATATTCTGTCGAATTAAATTTTACCGTTCTTTCTTTGTAACTTGTTTTGTTTAAAAATCTATCGAACTTCTTAATTAGCTTTACATATCACACCGGGACAGAACAAGTTTAAATATATACGTATAAGAATCATAGCATGCACAAATTAGGAGTGAGAATAAAGCGTATACAAATGTTTAATCAACCATCTAACGGTTACGAATGTGAACTAAACATCCCTAAGTGTATGCAACCCGCAACACTTCAAAGTCGTGGTATAAATTGAAGTAGCATTAAGGGGAAGCACAAGTTTTATTCGAACTGTCATTAGATGGAGACACATTTGTCTAGGGACATTCCCTAGACACATCTATATTGCAATTATTATCTATGATTAAATGTATCATAACCCTTGTGCAAATGTCAACGGAGTGGTTTGATAACAATAAAGTTGCTTTTTTCGTTCGAGGTTGAAAAATGGAAACGATATTAGAGCAACAACGACGCTATCATGAGGAAAGAGAAAGGTTAATGGACGCTATGGTCAAAGAAATGTTGTACAAAAAGGCAGGGCATAGAGAAAGCATAAATTCGGAACATCGGTTAAAGATGCTACTCGATCAGTACATGGATAGTACTTTGCATTTACAGGATTTATACGAAGATAAGGACGGGCAAAGGAAAGAGGAGGTATATAATCTTTTATTTTTATTTTTATTTTTATTTTCATGGATATATTTTCGTTTAAAACAACTGCGAATCATCTTCCTCCAGGTACAAGCACTTTCAGGTCCAAATGAATTTTCGGAATTTTATTCCCGCTTGAAATCTATAAAAGAATTTTATCGGCGACATCCTAATGAGATAAGTATTCCAATGTCTGTGGAATTCGAAGAACTGGCTAAGATGAGAGAAAATCCCACAGAAGAACTTTCAAATCTTGTTGAATTTACCGATGAAGAAGGATATGGAAAGTATCTTGATCTTCATGAATGCTATGAAAAGTATATTAATCTTAAAGGAATAGAGAAAGTAGACTACATTACATATTTATCAACTTTTGATCATTTATTCGATATACCAAGAGAAAGGAAAAATGCTGAATATCAAAAATATGTGGAATCTTTGTTAGAATATATAACCGATTATTTAAGTAGAGTTAGGCCATTGCTCGATTTAAATGGAGAGCTTCAGGAAGCGAATAGAGAGTTCGAAACACAATGGGAGAACAATACATTTCCAGGGTGGCCAAAAGAAACTGGTAGTGCTTTGACCCATGTAGGAGCTCATTTAGAATTGTCTGCTTTCTCTTCATGGGAGGAGCTTGCATCTCTTGGCTTAGATAGATTGAAATCAGCTTTAATGGCTTTGGGTTTAAAGTGTGGTGGTACACTCGAGGAAAGAGCCCAAAGACTGTTTAGTACAAAAGGAGAGGCTTCTTTGGATCCAAATCTTCTAGCTAAAAATAATAGAAATAGAAAATCTGGAAAGGGGAGAAACTCTGAAAAGCAAAAGGAGATAGCATGCTTGGAAGGACAGGTTTATAGGCTTGCTGAATTGGTATCAACCCAACGAGTAGCCACAAAAGAAAATGTACAGAGGAAACAAGCTAGAACCGAAGGTGAGAGAGGTGATTCTGATGCAGAAGCTAGCGCTAGCGAATCGGAAGAAGAAGACGATAACGAAGTTCCTTATAATCCAAAAAATCTTCCTCTTGGATGGGATGGTAAACCTATACCATATTGGTTGTACAAATTACACGGTTTAAATATCAGCTACAACTGTGAAATATGTGGAAATTTCACATATAAAGGTCCAAAAGCTTTTCAAAGACATTTTGCCGAGTGGAGACACGCGCATGGTATGCGTTGCCTTGGTATTCCAAATACCGCCCATTTTGCTAATGTAACACAAATAGAAGATGCTCTGGCTCTATGGGAAAAACTTAAAGCTCAAAAACAAGCTGAACGTTGGCAACCAGAACAGGAGGAAGAATTCGAAGATTCCCTTGGAAATGTAGTCAATCGTAAGACATATGAAGACTTAAAAAGACAAGGTCTTTTGTAAAATCGTATTCTGATATTCATAATAACTTTTGTATATTACGGTACATTTCATGTAATCTATATGTATGTTTTAAAAATAAATATAATACAAATTAGAAAACCTTCTGCGGAATATTTCTTTATAGTTTATATATGTATATTTTGAAAATAAGAATCAGTTACTTTAAAATACCATTTGCATAAATAAATTACTAGACAAAATCACCAAATGCGTAGATGTAGAAGTTATCAAGAAGTATACAAAGAGCCAAGGCATTTGTTCTTATTAGTTAATAATTTACAATTAACATGAACAATGGTATTTCGTTTTGAACGTATTTCATAATTATAAGTACATAATCTTGGAATTAATTAAACTTCTGTTGAGAAGTAGGGACTTCGAAGCTTTTTAAACCACCATGTTTGGCCAATAGGAATGTAACAATTTCCTACCCAAAATATTAAGTGAGTGTGCGCAGTTCGTCGAGTGTCTATAGAGATGAATATCTCTTGTACATCTCATACTTTCTCTCCTAACAGTAATTTTACATCTTCTGGGAAAAGAATATTTTAATCTATAACTGTTTTGTTCGTGAATACGTTATCAAAGAGAATACTTCAAACAGAATCGAAAGAAAAGTTAGAATTTAAATTTAAATTTAAATTTTTTGTTCCATCGGAAAAAGCATGATGTTTTATCGTAGCGATTAAAACCACGTGCTCCCAAAGACCGATCGTTATTATGAAAAAAAGATTTAACGTAAGCACCTAATCAAAATGAAACTTCTGTTAATTATACTATTTATTTCCTTTATTTTTTTTTTAATGATTTTCTTTCTCATAGTGGAAGTTACCATTTTAAGTAACCGATAGTTGGGGGAGCATTGATTAGGGAACAAAGATCCTTGCCACCATTGCGGAAAGGAATGCTGAGGCAGGATGCCGAAATTCGTGGACCGCTGGATATTTGGGCCCACTTTAGGAGAAGGTGCTTATGCCGAGTATGTTTATAGAATACTTTTATTTTATATAGTTTTAGAATTATTTTAATTATTAATATATTTGAATTATTTACGTATGTTATATTACGTAAAATATTGCACATTTATTTTATCATGATTTTCGTTGTACGCGTAATTAGAATAAATCTCGTATAAACGTAATTGGAAGTTTTTTATTTAAAATATTTAATTTTAATCCTTTCAGAGTAAAGTTACTTTTACATAAGTCTACCGGTAAGGCAGTTGCTGTGAAGATTATAGATCTAGAGACGAAAAAAGTTGCTAGTCGAGCAGTTCGCAAAGAAAGCAGTATTCATAGTGTGTTATTTAATCCCAATATTATACGATGTTTTGGAAGGCGAAGCGAACTAAATGTAGAATATATATTCTTGGAATACGCTTCAGGTGGAGAACTTTTTGATAGGATTGGTGAGTGCATTGCTTATCAATGATGATAATTTAAAAGCAGGTGATGTTAATGATAAATATACCTTTTTAATTAATATAGAACCTGATGTCGGTATGCCAGCATGGCAGGCACAAAAGTATTTTAGACAATTAATTTCGGGAGTTGAATATTTACATAACAAGGGAATTGTGCACCGAGATTTAAAGCCAGAAAATCTACTGTTAGATGAAAATGACAATTTAAAAATTTCTGATTTTGGTTTGGCAACAATATATCGATATCAAGGCAAAGAGCGATGCTTAGATAAAAAATGTGGAACAATGCCATATGTTGCTCCAGAAGTATTATTTGGCCATTATCGTGCGGAACCTACAGATGTATGGTCATGTGGTGTAATTCTTGTGGCTTTACTGGCTGGAGGTAATCTTTACAAAACAATTACAAAACCACGTGTATAGATACAGCTTATTGATAATTTATGTTAATATCTTTTACATTATTTCCTTTGGCCTCAGTGTCAAGTTTGAATAGATAAACATATTGAAATACAAATAATTAAACTGTAGTAAAAGAAGATATTAACTGATTAGATTAATGACAGCTTTATATACAAAGTGGAGATCATTGTCATTTTTAGTCTGACGGTTTGGGTTGCTAATGTATAACTTACATTTCTTAGTTTTTTAACTGGTGCATATCTGAACTGTAGAACTGCCTTGGGATCAGTCCTCAGAAGATTGTGGAGAATACAGAGCATGGAAAAATGGAAAGTACATGTCTCTCACACCATGGAAAAAATTGGATACTTCTTCTTTGTCTTTGATTAAAAATGTTCTTCTGCATTCACCATCATCCAGATATACCATAAAAGATATTAAGCAACATAGATGGTTTATCAAAACGTTCCAGACAGGTATGTGTCTGTTATGTATTGTAATTTTTTATTTACTTATGACTATGCAATAATTTTCACTAAACTTCCATGGATAAGATGAAATGTGTATTTACTTAGTCAGGTACTAAGTATCTCTGAGTGTGTAATTAACTTACTCAAAGCAGCTTGGTACCTAACTGAGTGGATACCGAAAACACCTACTTTTTCATATACTTGTAAGTATTTCACACACTCTTCTTTTTAACATTTGTTATTAAACACACATTGAAATTATAATAATCATAGCTTTCACTTTTTTTAAGATAATCAAGGCTTTTGCCTTTACTTTGGTAATACAGCTCTATGATTTTAATTAAGGATCATAAAGCTAGATTACCAAAGCAAAGAGCACTGGCATATGCATCTATAAAATACAAATATAAAAAAAATCATATTTATAATTAATAAGTATTTTTACTGTTACATATTTTATTCTTTCGTTTTCTGTAATCTAAATTATTAGAAAAAATCAAATAGGTAATATTTTTATTTGTTTTACATTGGTATTTTTTTATCTTAGTTGGTAGTATAGAAGGACACATTTGTCATGATGAAGCAGATTCAAGGCAAATGTTAGAAGATGAAAATTTGACAAGATTCTGTCTGTCGCAACCCGAATTACCTAGGATAGAAAATAATGCATCAGAGATCAACTTAGAAAAACAACCAGGATTCTCATTTTCACAACCTGCTCATATAGAAGATTTATTAGTATGCACTCACGTATACTCAACACAAGAAACTCAGGTAATGCAACTTCTAATCAAACTTTAACATTAGAAAATTGATGTTTTTAAGATATGTAACAATTACAATTTATTTGATCATTTCCAGCAAAATACATATCAACGCCTTGTGCGGAGAATGACAAGATTTTTCGTTACAACAGCTTTGGAGGCAACAGTAGAAAGATTGATAAACTGTTTGGACAATGAAAATTACACCTACCGTATCAATGACTGTCGCACAGTGAGTTCTAAAATAATTATTTCAATGAATAATTGTAACAGTGTGCTGTGCAATATAAATTGTTAAACAATTATTTATTACAGATCACCATAAACGGTGATTCAAGAAAAAGGGTCCTCGTTTATAAAGCAAATCTTGTTGAAATGGATGGAAAAATTCTAGTTGACTTCAGACTATCTAAAGGCTGTGGTCTGGAGTTTAAACGGAGATTTATGAAAATTAAGGCTGCACTAGATGATATAGTACTGAAAGATCCTGTGACATGGCCAATTGCTGTTGCAACTAAATGTATACCTTAAATACAATGTACAAAATTCCTTTTTTTAATAAAACATTTGTAAACGTGTAGGTTAATAATAATGTAAACTTCATGTATGTGCGTGCATATGTATGGGTGTAGCGTGCGTGTATGCATTGTTTCGAATAAACGCGAAAAAAAAGGGAAAAAACGAAGTTTGTGTTGACAACGAAAAATATATGTAAATTGTCATCGTTTAAATAAACGTTTATACATTTTGTATTCTTTTATAAGAAAAGATGTAATTACATTCCCACTGTTGGTTCTTAATTATGTAATAGTAGAAATATGTCGTCGGTTACTAATAATTATGTGTCAAAACAAGTTTCCGGGTACTAATAAGTATGTATCCAAACAAGTTTCGTACTATAACCTCTATTTTCCACGTGTTCTTAAAATGTTCATGCTACAAAACTTAATTGTATTTACGATAACTAGTATTGTAGTGATAGCATTTTCTAGCTATCTTAAATTTATACATTTTTTCAATAGTTTCACGTATCAGTATTTTAATAATATTGTCGATTTACAGATATACGATTACATTATCGGTAAGTCACATATTTTCATTAATTTATCGTATACTTGTGTAAAATATAAATCTATAATACTGGAATAAATTACTGTAAAATCTGAAATTTTTATATTTATTTTTCTAGTTGGAGCAGGCACCGCAGGTGCAACAATATCTGCAAGGCTAGCAGAGTATGGGTACAAGATCTTATTGCTTGAAGCTGGTGGGGTTCCACCACCTTTTCTGGATATTCCACTTTTAGCTCCTTTAATTCAAAATAGCCCATACGATTGGCAATACACTACTGTGCCTCAACAAAATGCTTGCAAGGGCTTAATCAATAATGTATTACATTCAAATAGATACATATTGTTAATGTACAATGATTAATCTGATATATAATTATGAATTTGTTCTTAGCTAAGTAGATGGCCAATGGGTAAAGTTCTTGGTGGAACTAGTCGTTTAAATTATATGCTGTATGTACGAGGACATCCTACTGATTATGATGAATGGCTACCAGATTTCACTGGTTACTATAAAACACATAAAAATTTAGTATTACTCCTTAATTTATATCATTAATTGATTAGAGTAATACTTTTAGAACCCATTACACAGTATGGTGGACCAATGAAGGTAAATAATTTAAAATGGCACACTCTTCTCTCTAATACAATCTTAAAAGGATTGGAAGAGTTACACCAAAGTATTGGTAACATTAACAAGGATTTAAAAATTGGTAATTTCATTAATATTAACAGAGTGTTGTAGAACAGAAAGTAATTGTTGTTTCTTCATATTACTAATTTAGGTTTCATGAAACCACAGCTATCTATGGAAAATGGTTCACGATGGAGTACAGACAAATTATTGTACAAAGATTTTCAAAACAGAATTACTGTTATTACTCATGCACACGTTGAAAAAGTATGTTTAAAGAGAAATACATTGATTTTCTTATTTAAGAAACTATGATTATGGAACCAGTGTTTACTTGCAGGTATTGATAGAATCAAATAGAGCAGTAGGGGTACAATTTGAGGCCCTGAATAAAGTATTTCAAGCCATTGCAAAAGAAGGTGTCATTATTAGTGCCGGTGCTATTGGGACTCCTAAAATATTAATGTTATCTGGTATTGGACCGAGAAAACACCTAGAAGATTTAGAAGTAAACTTTGCATAAGTTATTAATGATGTTTTCATTAAAAATATATGTGTAAGTATATTTCTATAATTGAGTAATTTGTTTAATTTTCAGATAAACGTTATTAAGGATTTACCAGTTGGTCAACATTTAGTAGACCATATACTTACTGGAATTGACTTAGTTACATTGAATGAAACTGTTGGTTTGAACATGGCTGATACTTTAAATCCTATTTCAGCAATGAAGTACTTTCTTTTTGGAGAAGGTAGCAATTTTAATTTTAAACAATCAGTTAGTATTACGCGTAATTGTTATTTTAAATTTAATTGGACATGTTTCCTCCTGTAACGTCTACAGGTCCTTGGACATCTACAGGAGTTGAAGTTCTAGGAACATTTCATAGTTCATTTAAGACAAACATAACAGATGTACCAGATTTACAAATAATGGCAATGCCACTTGGAGTATCAAAGGATAATGGAATTGTGTTGAGAAAGGCTATGGGAATTTCTGATAAGGTAAATAGTACATTCAATAAAATTTGTACTAGCTTCATAAAGTATTTATTAAGTATTTTTTTACATAGGTTTACAATGAATACTTTGCTCCCCTTGCTTATAAGAATACAGTAACAATTGCTCCAGTTCTGCTACATCCAAAAAGTACGGGAGAAGTTAAATTACACAGTACTAATCCTTCTGATCCACCACTAATTAATCCAAAATACTTAACAAATAAGGATGACATTGCACTTCTTGTTGATGGTACTGAGATTAATGAAATTTCAATGCAATATATAAAAAATTTGAGTGCTAATCGCAATACATAGTACTTAATTTTACAGGATTACAATTTGTAAAGAAACTCGTTAGAACAAATGCTATGAAAACTCTTGGTGCATCCATTTATGAAAAACATTTTCCTGGTTGTGAAAAAGAAAAGTTTGATAGTGTAAAGTACTGGGAATGTTACATACAACACTTAACTTTAACTTCTTATCATCCTGCTGGAACATGCCGGATGGGTGATGTTGTTGACCAAAAGTTCAAGTAATTTATTACATTTTCATACAAACTGATGATTTATGTATAAATAATATATAAAACATCTTCTTCACAGGGTTTATGGCATGAGAAATTTGTATGTAATAGATGCATCTGTACTACCATCATTACCAAGTGGTAATATTAATGCTGCAGTTTTAATGCTTGCAGAGAAAGCTGCACATACATTTAAACAAACTGCAGAATTTCACTTAAATGATAAAACGTGTTACAACCCATACAGTTGTTATTCAGAACATACTAATTGCTTTAACACTTTACCGGTCGCTGTCACGTACACGTGATTATCATTCCGATGTTTGCAAAGTATTAATATATGAAATAAAATAACTCTTATCAGATTCTTACTTTAATTCAATAATATATACTTTCATGACGAAAAGTTATTTTGTTATTATTGCATCCAATACACGAGAGTGAAAAAGGTGTAAGATTAATGATAATATAATCAATAATAATGCACAGTAAGTTGTTAAGATCTATAATAAATTTTACAAGGTAAAATACTTTACTAAAAAAAAAATATGTGCTTCTAAATTGTTTAAAATTAAATCATTGTAATAATAGAAATTAATATTGTATAGCCTATCTGTTTTATATAATGCATTTCGTTAGTGATAGTTGTGTTTATTACTTTTGTAATCCCTTCTAGAATAATCATTTGATCTGTGACTGTTATGACTAGTTCTAGATCTATGATTCTTATGTCTGTTATTCTTTTTACTTTCTTCTCTACGATAAGGATGCGATCGTACAGATCTTCTATTATCTTCATAAGAATGAACTTCTGACTTCCTAGAATAAGGACCTGAACTTGGCAACATATTTCCTCCGTACATGTCAATTTTCATGTGAGGAGAATTATTTTCTAACAACATTTGTTGTCCTAACTGAAGTAGATGATTCAAGTTATTAAGATACTGATCCTGTGAGTTTGTTTTTTGTTGTAATTCCATGTTGTTCCTTGTGCTCATACAAATGGGACGATTAAACAGCATTGTACCATCGAATAGATCCAAAGCATACGATACAGAAACAATATGTTTATAAGTTACAAATCCATATGTTCTTTGCCTTCCATCACGATCTTTAGGAATAGAAACTCTTTGCACAGGGCCACCCTAATAAGACAGTAGATATAATGGGAAATGTTAGTACATAACCTAAACATAAATCTTTAAGATACTAAATGTTTTTAAATAAATTGAACATTTGACACGTTTGACAAACAATTCGAATAGCAAAACCATTGTATTTGCATAAATGTCCGTTAAAACGTTTGTTTACGATTGTGCCTAATACACAAACCTGTAAGAATAATTCATATAGAATCTCTTCCGATACTTTGTCACTCAAATTTCCACACCACAAAGTACGCATATCTTCGTCCATCGTGAAATTCTATGTAACGACAAATAAATATAAACTTAAATTTATTGAGTACTCAAACGGAAATTAAAACCAGACTGATTAATCAAACGCCAATCCAAATCCCTGCAACTGATAACAAAAACTATATTAGGGTTAATACGACAAAAATATAATATCGTGGCACATACCCTTAAAGGACATAAAGCCATCTAACAATATACACAACAATAAAATAAAATTCAAATAACAAATTAAATTTTATGTAAAACTGTGAATACACCACATACAAACATACAATGTTGCGCCATCTAACGAATAGCATCAATATCTAATTATCTACGTAGTCAATTAATATAACTCTGTCGGTAATGTGCGGTTCGGATATTAGATAAGGTCGGTGTGAGCATACCATCTAATCAGTGACCATGTGTCGGTAATGTGCGGTTCGGATATTAGAGAAGGTCGGTGTGACGAACCCGTCTAATTAGTGGCCAATGTGTCGGTAATATGTGGTTCGGATATTAGAG